CTTCATTATAATGTGTCTAGGTGTGGATCTCTTATGATTTTGCACATTCGGCATCCTGTAGGCTTCTAGGATTTGGGATTCTGTCTCATTCTTCAAGTCTGGGAAGTTTTCTCGTATTATTTCATTGAATAGATTGCTCATTCCTTTGGATTGGACCTCTATACCTTCCTGTATCCCAATGACTCTTAAGTTTGGTCTCTTTATGGTATCCCATATTTCTTGGATGTTCTGCTCATGGTTTCTTAACAGTCTTGTTGAGCTGTCTATGTTCTTTTCCAGTTGAAATACTTTGTCTTCATTGTCTGATGTTCTATCTTCTAAGTGTTCTACTCTGCTGGTAGTATTCTCAATTGAGTTTTTAAGTTGGTTTATTGCTTCCTGCATTTCTAGGATTTCTGTTTGTTTGTTTTTTATAACCTCTATCTCCCTGTATAGTTGATCTTTTGCTTCTTGGATTTGTTTATGTAATTCATTGTTGAAGTGATCTTTCATTGTCTGATTTTGCTGTCTGATGTCTTCCTTGAGACTCCAGATCATCTGAAGCATGTATATCCTGAATTCTTTATCTGACATTCCATCTGCTGCAGATATTACCTCGTCTAAGGTTGAGTTGACCTGCATTGCTTGTGGTCCTTTCTTTCCTTGTCTCTTCATACTGTTCGCGTTTCTTTCTGCTTGGTGAAACTGTTTTGCTATTGAATTTTCCCCCTATGTATTTATATTGCTCTTGTATAGTTGCAAAGTCTCCCTCGCAGGTGTGGGCGGCGGCTCTGCCCCTCCTCCAATTGTGGCAATGTGCCTACCACGTCAGCAGGCCGCTGGGCCTGTTCTGCCAGTCGGTAGCAGGTCTACCTACTTTGCAGGCGTGGGCGGCGGCTCTGCCGCTCTGCGGGTGGCTGGGCTTGTTCTGTCGGTGGTTGAAGTTCTGCCTACTTTGCAGGCGCAGGCAGCGGCACTGCCCCTCTGCAGGCTGCTGGGCCTGTTCTGCCAGTGGGTCGCAGGTCCGCCTACCTTGCAGGCTTGGGGGGCGGGGTGGCTCTACCCTTCCGCAGGCTGCTGGGCCTGTTCTGTCTGTCAGTTGCAGGTCTGGCCTGTTCTGTTGGTGGTCGCAGGTCTGCCTACCTTGCAGGCGCATTGGGCAGCTCTGCCCCTCCGCGGGTTCCTGGGCCTGTTCTGCCAGTGGGTCACAGGTCCGCCTACCTTGCAGGCGCGGGGGGCTGCTCTGCTCCTCTGCGGGTTTTCTGGGCCTGTTCTGTCGATGGTCACAGTTCCGCCTACCTTGCAGGCGCAGGGGGAGGGGGCGGCTCTTCGCCTATATTCTTGATGATTTCCATTCTGAAAGGAGATGAAATATTAGATTAGTTTTGATTTGCATTTCTCTAATTGCTAGAGATGTTGAACACTTTTTCGTATATTTCTTGATCAATTGTATTTCTTCTTCTGTGAAGTGTCTGTTCAGTTCCTTAGCCCATTTATTGATTGGGAATATTTGTTTTGGGGGGGTAAGTTTTTGAGTACTATATATATCCTAGATATTAATGCTTTATTACAGGTGCATGTGGTAAAAATTTTCTCCCAACCTGTAGTCTCTCTCCTCACATTATTGATTATTTCCTTTGCTGAGAAGAAGTTTTTTAATTTGAATCAAACTCATTTATGGATTCTTGATATTACTTCTTGCACTTTAGGAGTCTTTTTAAGGAAGACATATCCTAGACTGACACAATGAAGATTTGGGCCTATTTTTCTTCCATTAGGCACAGGGTCACTATTCTAGTGTTTAAGTCTTTGATCCACTTTGAGTTGATTTTTGTGCAGAGTGAGAGATAGAGGTTTAATTTCATTTTTCTACATATGGATTTGCAGTTTTTCCAGCACCATTTGGTGAATAGGCTATCTTTTCTCCAGTGAATGTTTTTGGCACCTTTGTTTAGTGTAACATAACCATACTATGTAGATTTTTCTCTGAGTCCTCTATTCTGTACCATTGCTCTACAAGTGTATTTTGGTGCTGATAACATACCAATTTTTTTACTGTAAATGTGTAGTATACTTTAAGGTCTGGTATTGTGATGCATCCTGCATCACTTTTCTTGCTAAGGATTACTTTAGTTTTTCTGGAGCTCTTATTTTTCCACATAAATTTAATGATTGCTTTTTCTATTTCTATGAAGAATGTCATTGGAATTTAGTAGGAATTGCATTACATCTGTATAACATTTTTGGTAATATGGGCATTTTGACAATATTAATTCTGCCTATCCAGGAGCATGGGAGATCTTTCCATCTTCTGAGGTTTTCTTCAGTTACTTTCTTTAGTGTTTTGTAGTTTTCATTGTAGAGGTCTTTCACCTCTTTTTTTAGATCGATTCCCAGTTTTTTTTTTTTTTGTTGTTGTTGTTTTTAGGCTATTTTGAATGAGATAGTTTTCCTAATTTCTCTTTTAGTGGATTCATTGCTTATGTATAGGAATGTGTTTGATTAATGGGTGTTGATTTTATATCCTGCTACTTTGCTGAATTTATTTATTAGTTCTAGAAATTTTTTGGTGGATTTTTTTTTTTTTTTTTTGTATCTTCAGATATGGAATCATGTCACCTTTAATTTCTTCTTTTTTTGTCTAATTGCTGTGGCTGGAGTTTCAATGAGGGAATACTTTCAATTTTTCTCCATTTAGAATGATGCTGGCCTTGGGTTTAGCATAGATAGCTTTTACAATGTTGAACTATGTTCCTACTATCCCTAGTTTTTCAATTGTTCTGAACATGAAGTTGTGCTGTATTTTGTCAAATGCTTTTTCTGAATCTATTGAGATGATCGCATGATCCTTGTTTCTAAGTCTATTAATATGATAAATTACATTTATTCATTTCCATATGTTGAACCAAGCCTGAATCCCTGGGATGGAGCCCATTTGATCATGGGACACTATCTTTTTAATGTTTTTGTATGTGATTTGCCAGAATTTTATTGAGACTTTTTGCATCTATGTTTATGAGGGATATTGATCTCAAGTTTTTTTCCTTGATGTGTCTTTGTCTGGTTTTGGTATCAGGGTCATATTAGCCTCATAGAAGAGTTGGGAAGAGTTCCTTCCTTTTCTATTTCATGAAATACTTTGAGAAATATTGATGTTAATTCTTCTTTGAAAGTACTGTAGAACTCAGCTGAGAATCCATCTGCTCCTGGGTTTTCTTGGTTGGAAGGCTTTTCATGGTATTTTCTATTTCATTATTTTAAATTAATCTGTTTAAATCATGTATGACCTCCTCCTTCAGTTTGGGTAGGTTGTTCTATGTCTCTAGAAATATGTCAATGTCTTCAATATTTTCTATTTTATTGGAATATAAAATTTCAAAGTAGTTTCTAATTATCTTCTGTATTTCAGACATGTTCATTGTGATATTTCCATTTTTATTTTTATTTTCATAGTTTGCATTTTCTTTTCATTATGATGTCCAGGGGTTTACCTAATTTATTTTTTTTTTCTTCAAAGAACCAAATTTTTCTTTTGACAATTTTTTCAATTGTTTCTTTTGTTTAATTTTCAGCTCTGATTCAATTATTGTCTGTCTTCTACTGGGTTTGATGTTGATCTGTTCTTCTTTTTCTAGGTCTTTGTTCTTTTAAGGAATGAACATCATGCAATGGACTTTCCTTTTAGTGTCCCAGAGATATTGATATGTTGTGTCAGTGCTCTCTTTTACCTCTAAGAATCTTTTATTTCATTCTTGATTTCTTCTACTATCCATTTATCACTCAATAGTGTATTATTTTGTCTCCATTTGTTACAGTAGTTTGATTTTTTTATTTTATCCTTGATTTCTAATTCCATTCCACTGTGGTCTAATAGAATGCAGGGTATTATTTCTGTTTTTTGTATTTACTAAGAGTTGCTTTGTGGCATAATATATGGTCTATTTTCGAAAAGGAGCCATTTGCTGCTGAAAAGAAAGTATATTTTCTCATTGATGGATAAAATATTCTATATATGGCTGTTAAGTCTAAATTATTGATTATATTATTTAGTTCTATAGTTTCCTTATTTTTTGTTTGAGAGATCTGTCCTGTAGTGAGAGAACTGTGTTAAAGTCACCCAGTATTATTGCATTGTGGTTTATTTGGCTCTTGAAATTGAGAAGGGTTTTTTGATGTACATAGATGCTCTAGTGTTTGGGGCATAAATATTTATAACTGTTTTGTTCTGCTTATATACTTCCCTTAAGAAGTATGAAATATCCTTCTTTGTCTCTTCTGATTAACTTTGGCATTAAGTCTTCTTTATCTGAAATGAGGATGGAAACCCCTGCTTGTTGACACAATCCATATGAGTGATAAGTTTTCCACATCATTTCACCCCAGCCTGTGGATTTCTTTGCCATGAGGTGGGTCTCTTGAAGACAGGATATTGCTGGGTTTTGCTCTTTAATCCAATCTACAAGCCTATGTCCTTTGATTCATGAGTTTAGGCTGTTAACATTCAAGGTTTTTATTGAGATATGGTTTGTATTCCTTGTCATTTTGATTTATTTCTGGTTTTTGATTTGTCTTAGTTTTTAATTTATTTGGATGTCCCTTTAGAGTAGATCCTCCCTTTGTTGGTTTTCACTTTTTTTTCTTCACTTCATCCTCATGGAATATTTGTTGAGAATGCTCTGTAGTGTAGGCTTTCTAGTTGTGAATTCTT